TCAATATCAGCATTATTAATATTAGTTGTTGCCATACGAAAAATATTTTTTTTTAATATAATAACTTACTGTACTGGGTTCGAGTATTTTGAACCAATTGTACAAAGGAATATATGCTAAAGTCTCGATAGTTAAGTAAATTGTAGTAAAATGTAATAAATTATTTAAAACATTTTAATTCATTTATTTGGGATACCATAAGACTAAAATAATGTAATGTTACTAAAATATAACAAAGAAAAATTTGTCTAATTGTGGTAGATTAGAAACATGTCATGGGCCCATGAAACCCGCAGCCCCTGCTTTGGACATTCCTGATCTATGGTAACACATATCTCTTAATATTCTCTTCTGACTACATAATAAACTTACAAGCTTTTAAACTACATACTGTATCTATAAATATTTATAATTATATATTTCCAACACATCTTAATATTGTTATACTAATTGTTCACAAGATAATAGGTATATATCTGAAATAGTGATTTCAATTTCAATGAGAAGTACTTTACAGAAGTCAATTTACTCACAATTTATAAACAATTATAAATAAAATATGTTTATAAATTTCGAAACGTCAGCGATAGTTATATGGACTACTATATAACAATAAAAACATAAATAAAAACTTATCTACAAGCTTTTATTTTTTTCAAGTCAGCCTTTTCATAAATACAATAGTTTGAGGTGTACAGAGTTGGGCAATGATTGTAATTAAAGTTAATTTAAAAATTGAGTTAAATATTAAATTTCTAGGTTAATTCTCTGCATCCTACTTGTTTCTTCTTAACGTGTGAATAGTACAAGTTCCTCTTACCTTCTTACAGTAACTTGTTTTCAAGTGACTTAACAAAACTGCAACTACATTTGTGTGTAATTACACCCTCCTACATCCGCGCATATATGCAACGGACTCTGTTAATGTGTGCTTACAGCAATAAAACAATAACAGCAACAACAAATGTATAATTACACAAAAGAACACTGTTATTAAAAACACAAAACTGCCAAAAGCTCAACACATTTTAAAGTGGCTTTATATGTTAAGTAGAGAGTCATTAAGTTTACGAAGTGTGACTTCGCAATTGTTAGTGTTGGCGATTTACTCAAAATTACTACACCAGCAATCATAAATCCTAGTTAAAATAAGAACAGGAAACGAACAGAAAATTTTTTGTACTTCGAATAGGAATTAAACTCCTAAAGCTTAAATAAAGTTTAAATAAATAAAAAAAAAATATTAAAAAATATTATATTAGAAGCTTTTAGAAGCTAATGCTTTGATGCTATTCTAATTTTTCGGGCAAACTGATTTGTAAAGAGATTGAAGTGAATGATAGCTACTTTGAGACAGCTTCTCTTCTGCTTCAACAGAACTATATCGAGAAATACGAGAAATTCGTCAACCTTTACTTCATTTGCACACTAAACAAATTATATTTTTTACCGTAGACGAAAAATTTATCAACTGATTTTCGTTTGTTACTTCGCTTACGTAAACTAAAGTTTTGTTGGTATAATTGTAGAAACGGTGGCCGGAAAGTATCATCTCATTTTCTGATAACATTCCTCAATTGATTTCAACATATAAAAAATTTACAGGCTATTCTATGTTATAGCGACCTACCTATAAAAGGTAGCATTGTTGCAAAACCTTCCAAATAGGTTCGTTGTCGTCAAACTCAATACTGCTATCATATGTAATACTGCTATCAATTGTAACAATTACAGGTGAAGTAAAAATTATTGTTCTGAGTCTACGGACCTCTACTAAAATGAAATTGACCCAATAAGTACAGAAATTGAGTATAAATTGGTTTAGAGATCACATGTTCTTACCAAGCAGAAAAAACTCGCAAAAGAAAAGAAAAAAGAAGTAATAATTATTTAAAATAACTCAAGGAAGATTTAATTTGGCTTTAAGACTGGGAGTCTGGTTTTTACACAAAAGTTTCATATCATAAAAACGTTCTTCCTAGCTAAAGGGTTAACATATGCATTTAGATTTTTAAAAAATTATTTTTAAATTTTTAGGGTCTTTGATTAACTTCATGTTATTAAAAACTTTATGAATTTTCTCAAGTCTGATGTATTGTGGGTATTCTACAATTCCTGTAATTGCTTTGTTCTTTAAAATAACTTTCTACTCTTAATCTAAAGACGATTCTTGGATGACAAGAGAATGAAAGGAAAAAAGAAAGAAGAGGATAAGATATTAAAAGATTAAAGAAACTAGTGGAACTCTTAAGTTATATGGACATCTTAAAGTCCATATAACTTATTTTGTTCAAATCAAAATAATAATAGTCCATATAATTATAATTTTCTTTATATTGATCAAATATTTTCACAAATAACCAACTTATATGCTACCTACAACAAAATAAGAAAAAAGAATTGCCAGATAGTGTTAACCTTTTCAAAAGTTATACTTAAAAATGAAATGAACAAAAAACCGCCGAATAATTTTTGCCCAACCCAATAGTAAGTATTTATAATATATTATTATGGAAAAAAAGATAGTGCACTGCGACCTGAAAGATCCATTGAGCCTCTTATTCGGAGAAGAGTGTTTCTCCAAGTCCGATTTCTTTAACGAAAGATAGTATAGACGCTATCTTTCCTAGTCTTGAATCCTTATGTTCCATGAAATACCAAGGTGTTTCTTCCGCTTGTGCTTAAGTACCGGTCACTCTCCAGGTACATAATATGCGTTTTCTCTCTCTTCTCTACAGTATCTGAAATCTGAGCTGGATTGAATTCCTAACTTTGTTAGGTCATTATTCAATTTACAGTGACCGGTTAGTAATCCCATAATAATTTTTAGGTTATTCTTTGTTTGTTCTATGCAATCCTTGAAGCATTTGAGGTTATAAGTCGCTAAAAGCATTTTAGATTGCAATAGTCTTTGTAGATTTTACCAATATAATTGTCTTTCTTTTCCCTCTGCACCATTCAAAAGTATAGATAGAGTTCCTTTGCCTAGTATATACCTATAACATATACTTTCAGCAAAATTATTTCTACTGGAAAAATATAACTATTTATTATAAATAAAACAATGGAATTTTTATTATGTCGTTTAACTCAAATGTGGATAATCTATATTGGACACTTCCTCATTCCTAACAATAAAATCCAATTTTCGGTTTATTGTAAGGAAACTTCTTCTATCTACAAATCAATTAAAGAATTTATTAAAACTATATGCATAACATAACTTTGAAAGAGTTTTAAACTATAAAGAGTTTATTTAAATATTAAACTAGGAAAAATGATTCTATTTGGATGCTGCTGATTAAAGAGCGAGCAAATTCAAACAAAATATTTTGGTTCTATCCATTTTTTTTCTAATTATAATTGTGCATAAGATGTGCAAAAAGATTTATTTAAATTTTTAATAATTTAACAAAGGAATTTAAACACTTTATGTAGATAATCTAAAAATTCGTTTGATTTATTCCATTCCAAACTACGAAGAACTACGTTTTTTATTTCGTCTTTTATATCATCTCACTGCAATCTCTTCTTTCCTAATTTAAGATATTCCTTTTTTCTTGCATATATTTTCTCTATTTTGATTCATTCTTGCTTAATTCTGATGATGAGAACGAAATTGATTATTCCCATAAGCGTAATTTATAAAAGACCATTTCAGATTCTCATTATTCCCTTCTATTCTTCTTCAATACTTGGTGCTCTACTAAGGTTTTTATTATTTTTATTCCGTGTTTTAAATGTGAAATGAAGAACTTAACTTTAGAATTGAAGCACGAAGTATTTACTTTTAATTTAAAAATGCTCGAATTTAAAAAAATTAATTTTAATTTAATTATTTTCTATAAAATCAGAATGATATGAATATATAATTGAATTTTATTTATATAGTATTCAATATAGCTGTAAATTACCAAATATTAATTATTATAAAAATTAGCATATATAATACAAACTATTAATTAATAAATTAATTAGATTAAAGAATTATATGTTTAATCTATATACTGAAAATGTGGGTTTTAAAAACAACAAATAGCAGATCTTTTGAAAAATTTTATGGACAATGATAGCAAACTCAAAATACTCATAGTTCAATTGGTCAACATAGTTTCACAAGGCATTATTATTAGATCACTTCTATGCAATCTATATGCATCTAACTTACCGGCTTCGTCAATAATCACCGCTCGTAATACTGATAATACCGTTTTTTTAGCAGAACAATCGAAAAAGCAACAGCTTCCTTACAATCGGTGGTAACTTCTGTGATATCATGAGGCAAAAAGCAGTGCATTGAGCTTAACTATATCGAATCAATTCATGTATATTGATTTTGGTTTAAAAAATGTATCATATAAGCTTATATATATATATTATAAATACAACAAACATCTATTATACTTACAAAATATATTCGTATTACGCTTAAAACAAAATTGAACATTTGGGAAAATTTTAAATAAAATTTGTTTTAAAATTAAAGAAAATTAGTAATGCAAATGGTCAACTTATAAGAAATTACTTTATAAAGAAATTTTAAAACCCATGTAGACATATGCTATAATCAAATAAAGTAAAAATAAAGTGCTTCGAAGAATAGTTAATGCCCTTCAATGTCAGAAACTGGTAAATTTAAAGGCAATAGTAATAATTAATTCAAGTGCCTTTCATAACCTAGTCTTCAGAATTATCTGCAACAACCAGCAGTCGTCACAGAATATAGTACCGGACGCACTCCTTGAAAGAAAAACAACTTTTTAAGAAAGACAGCATTAAGAAAGTATTTAAATGTTGTCAACATTATATGATCAATGATCAAAATTGATGCTGTTCATATTATTCAGATGTTCTAAACACCAAATTTAATCGATTATTCGATTAATCGGATAGCAGCTAAATCTCCAGAATTAATCAAACATCAGGACTTGTGATTATTATTCAAAAATTATATATAATATAAAACTTGTTCAATAGTTTTTATTTATACGTACATAATCTATTTTTTAATTTACCTTCTTTTACATAGAATTTTTATAATTTTTTTTAATCAATAATTTTTTTAATATCGTATATGTGTCGTAAATATGCATACATCATCCTGAATCCAAAGGCACAAAGAGCGTTTTAATAGTTCCTATCTGTTAAAAAATATTTATATTTTTTTGAACAAAATTTTGTTAAGAAAAAAATCTTATAGTTGTTTTAATATTATTTAATTTACCTCTTCAATATTCCTTAAAACCAATTTTATTGTTTTTGTTGTTGTGCTTTATACTACAAACACCACCTCTTAGTATCGTATATCTAAAATTTAATTAAAATTAAAATAATATATAAATACTACTTTACTAACGTTATACGTTACTACTCATCATGGTATTCTTCTGAATTGAATACCAAGTTTAAACTACCAACAAGAGCACTTATACCACATAGGACTGGCGACACAATTTGCTTATAAAGATAGTGTCCGACTTTTCCCAAAGGTTCCATCACAAAAGCAGCCCAAATTTCAACCAACAACTCTAAAGCTTCTCTTAGATTATATTCGCAAAAGAACAAATTTAAATATTATCTTTGATAATTGGAATTAACGGAGCGCGTCGTGTCACTAAGAATATCATCTCATCCATTCTTTCAGGTGACATTATAGGACGGCTCTTAGGAAAACACATAGGTAAGACGAATTGTTCAGACATTTTGAAAATTTTGCTTCCTTGAATTTTTGATAAGCAGAATTCTGTCTCAAAAAATAAAAAAAATTCTGAATCGAAAGTTGAATTTATTTATAAAACTTTCGAGTGGATTTGAAAAAAAATTTGATTCAATTCAATTTATTTTTTTTGAACTCAAAGAAACTATGATTATAACGGTTAAATCTATGTTATTTACAATATTTAAGATAACGAAAATAACGAAATTTTATTACATATAGGTAATAGCTAATAAGAGGTAATAGATGGATGACTTGAAACACAACTGCCTTCCACAGTAAAATTCTGGCTATGGATCCGCTCAAAATATATATTATATATATATAAATATATACTATAACAATTACATCACGTCTCAGAAAGTCTAAATCGATAACAACATCAATTAGATACTGTTGTAGGTAAAAATCAATAGTTTGAGAACAAATTAGCAATCAGTCCTTTCATTTTCAAAACAACAGTCAAGATCATTTCGTATAAGCTGTATGTTGACAAGGATAATCTGTCTCATAGTTTTCTTGTTTCCCTTTATAATTATCGCGTTAGGAGGTCAAAATCTGACATCAACTTGAATGTCTTATCGATCTCCCCGAATAGTACCATTCTTACGTTTCTTAACATTTTGAAAAATTTCTTAACATACTTATATACATCTCGGTCATTCACACAGCAAACACAAGTATCGCAGTTGTATAATAGTTAACACGTACATGACTAACAGTGCAATCAATACACAAAAAAGTACCGACTTAATAAACACAATATGAAGTGATGAAATTCCAAATTTGTGATAGTTTTTGAACAATCTCATGTGGTTTATGTAGTGTCCAACATTATTTTCATCCTATAACGAAGATCCTATTATTATATTTAACATGTGACAATAAAATTGTACCTTATAGTTGAATACATTATATTTCAACCAGTACTTTCACTCCGTTTATATAAACATAATAGAAGTCTCAATATGCTGTAGATTAGATTTGAAATTTAGGTACTTAATATTGGTTTTTTGGTTATTTATTTTGGTTATTGGTTACATGAAATTAATAGGTCACGTAAAAATCAAAGGACTAAAATTTTTGAAATAATGACCAAAATAATTATGTATACATTTGTCAACATTTTTTTTTTTAAAAATCAAAGGACCAAAATTTTTGAAATAATGACTAAAATAATTATGTATACATTCGTCATTTTTTTTTAAAAATCAAAGAACCAAAATTTTTGAAATAATGACCAAAATAATTATGTATACATTTTATCAAAAATTTTTTTATTTAAAATATTTTATATATAAATTTAATAATATTTACATCATTAATAGCATGAAATTAGTTTTATATACAATTTTTTACAACAATATTTTTTATATATAACTATTTTTTTTTAATTTTACTTCATTTTATTATATATTATATCATTTTATTTTATTTTATTTATTACTCTTTTTCTTCTTCTTTTTTTTTCGTTTTGATTTTATTACATTATATTTCATAATTTTTATATTTTATCTTATTTTAATTTTTTTTTTTATTTTATTTTATTTCATTTTTATTTATATATTTTTTTTTGTTATTTCATATCATTTTATTTTATTTTTTTATTTGATCTTATTTTATTCTATTTTTATTTATTTTTTTTTGTTTTATTTTATTTCATATCATTTTATTTTATTTCATTGTATTTTTTTATTTGACTTAATTTTTGTATTTTATTTTATTCAATTTAATTTTATTTTATTTTAATTACACATTATTTTTATATTTTTTTTTCACTTTTTTATTTAATTTTATTTTATTTCATTTTACTTTATATTTATTTACCTATATATACTTCTTTTTATTTATACTTTATATTATTATATTTTATTTTATCTTGTTTTATTTTATCTAATTTAAATTTTTTTATATTGGATTCTAAAACAAGTAACATTAACATAACTATAAGAACTTTGGTCTCAAATAGTTTTGTAAACCTAATATACGATGTAATTAGTAAAAATTGATATTAAGAAAATTTATATCAATATAAAATTATTTACATATAATTTATATTTCAACGATTTTGTTATATATATTTTAATATGAAATATATTTCATCTAATCGTGCTTCAATAATTTATTTTAAAAATTTAACTAATATTTTATTTATTTATAATTAATTGTTTATTATGAGAACACATGACTTCTTTTAAACAAAAATAAAAACTCTCATCAAAAAAATAGTTTTTTAAACTCATATTTACACAAAACAATTCAGAAAACTCAGAAAATTGAGTTTTGCATAAATTAACCAAATCAGAAATATTAAAATTTATAGTTGAAATCCATTCCACCGGAATTTCCGCATTCATCTTTCACTACTAATTCTACCCATTGAGATACATTGACGTTTAAATATTTCATTCAACTCGGAAGCTGCAAAAAAATTGGCCCGTTTACGTTTCGGACCATTCAAATCGATACGATCATAAATCAATCCCGTTGCATGTAGTGTCCTATATGTTTCCAAATTTTCAGTGCTGTTCAAACAATCGCCCCAAAGAAAAACGACTTGTCTCAGTGCAAATCCTGATTTAATGTCCACATGGCCGCCGACAAAATTGTCTGCATGCGGTGCTGTGCCCAAAAGATTTTCGGACTGTGCCAAATTTATGGCATCAAAAAACGTACGAGTTCTGAGGTCCTTAAATGACGGCCACAAAGTCGATTCACCAGTTGTCATAAACATGACAGGAAAGGCGGTTTGCTTATAGCGTAACATTGCACAGATATTCGCATCCATACTGGTAAAAATTAGGGCACGCCCACAACCGAAGTATGTGGTTAACTGCAAAGTGACGTCAATAAAATGATTTTTATTCAAATTTTGTATGAAATCACATTCATCATTTTGCAAAGCTTGTGGCCATTGCAGTTCAATAATTAAGCCAAGGTCCTGTGGCAAATTTTGATAAAGTTCAGCGAGAGTTAAGAAAATTTTATTTTCAATAGTTTCGTTCAATAAATCGGTGTATTCATAGATATATGTGTCTTTGGGTATAAACACTCTTCGTTCTCTCAATTCTGCAAAATTCAACTCGCTCAATAGAACATATTCTAAGTCATATAAACTTTCAATCACAGCATTATCTGCAGCCGTGTAAAACCCGAAGCTATTCCAAACAACGGGCATGTAGTCTTTGGTCGAGTAAATTTCTAATTTAGCCATATCTGCTTTCAACTCATAAGCATATATAAAACTTCTCAAAGTATTTTCCATTACTGGTGCATTAAAGTGAAAAAAACTTTTACCTATGCCGCGATTGCCTACATCCATTATGGGCCAATTGCGTGGCCAGTAGTGATGAAAACTGCTGCGCATAGTCAACTCCGTAGCATTCGGCAAAGGCGCCAATAACAAATAAGGCAGTTTTAAGACACCGATTTGATGACCATCGGAAATTGTGTGTATAGGCAAGTTAAGCACTCCCTCAAATCTGTGTATATCTTCCAATGTTATTCGCGCACTACCAATTGGCACACCATCCAATGTCTTCAATATCAACTCGTATGTGCTGCTCGTCTCAATTGTCTCTGTAACGCGAAAAATAGCAACATCTGCACCTTCAATAAACGCAATGCCATTACTTGGTTGTTTGGTGAACTCTGCATTCTTGTAGGCATATTTCACGACCTCAATTTCAGCTTTAGCATGTCGGCTATGTAAAAATCTGCCGTTTTCATTGAGAACATTTAATTTAAGCACAAATTGCCGAAGTCGTTTCATTTTAGCATTTTTATTGAATTTGATATGTCGCGCCCATATAAACTGAAACTGAATTACGTATTCATGCCGCAACCAACCACGTTCAGTTTCCACCACACCGTACACCTCGCCAAATTTATCACCGTCAGCTTGACTAAAAATCTGATAATACTCCAAGACGCGCGCATGTTGTTGACCTTCCCAAGCGATTACGCGCTTTTTACCGTTTTTGTTAGTTTTATACACAAAATACCGATAATGCATACGTTCATTAGCACAAATATATTTCTTCAAATACCAGCGTATACGGTTTCTAGTCTTCAGTTTCAGACTTTTTTCGATACGCCATTCACCGAGAGTTTTATGATCGCCCACAACCGCCACATGTTCATCGCCTTTTAGGGCCTTATCGAATTTCACTTTAAAGACCCTTAATAGGGGCATACATAAATAGTTTCGTGCACTTTCCCGATTTTCGAGTTCATCCATTTCCGCAATACTCAACGGGCCTGACATCATTTGGCCCTTAAGTATATCAGTCTTTAAAATTATGCAAATCAGTAAAAGACATGCGAAATTTACAACAGTTTTTTGCTTTAAACGCGTTCTTCGGGTTCGTATTCGCGAACGCGTTTGAGCCATACGCTTTGTTGGCCATTTGGATGTAAAATGAATAACTTACTCATAAACTCAACGCTACATGCCTCCACATGAAACTCTGCAATACAGTGAACTCTCAATAAAACTAGCTTAATAATAAAAGTAGTTATTATAAGTTTAAAAAAATTTCTATTCCACGGCTACGAAAATATTTACGAAATATTAATAATTTATAATGGAATTAAAGTATTTATATAAGCAATTAATTATTTATATCAAATTATTATAACTTATTAATTTATTACAATCTTTATTTTAATTATGTAGTCATTAATTCATTTAATCATTTATTTATTTATTATTCATTTATTTATTTTTGTTGATTTCAAAGCATAAAACCTTTTACTTAATTATGTTAATTACCTTATTTAGTATTTTTATAAGAAAATTATCTTTTATTTTAATTAACTTTTAATACAAAAGTATTAAAATGGTCTTATGCGAACGTCTATTTCGGAAGTCCATTTTTCAATACTACCTACTCGTAACATTTAATATACTCCATGTGTAGCATATTTACCCGCCTATTCTGTGAACTTGACAAATTTGTCAAATATTGACAATTAGGTAAAATTTTTATCAAGCAAATCTTGACAAATTTTATACCTCAATCAAGTACGTTGTGCTTTTCACCACAGTATGGTGAAAAGTGTTTTTTATAGAAAAATCAAAAGCAGTGTCTCAACTAATTATTATACACATATTATGCATCATTACTTTTATTTTATTTAATTCGTTATTTTCTATTTAGAATTTTATAATGAATATAGATAATTTCAAAACTATTATTATATTTTTACAATACTATAATAAATCATCATAAAATCGCTAATAATGCCATCTAGAATTTTATTATAATTATTTTTATAAAGTTTGTAAAATTTTATTTTATTACTTTAATAAATAACTATAAAATCAGTAGTTATGCTGTTTTTTAAAGAGTATATATTTTATTTTTCAACAACATTTATCATCTTGACAATTTATTAATTATTTATTTTATTTAATATATATAGCGCAGAACACCAAAACCTTGACAAATTGTCAACCTTGACAAATAAGGAAGAAGGTGAATAATTAACAAATTTGTGAAGTTTACAGAATAGGTTCGTTAAGATACATATAACAGCGTTAAAAATAACTACGTTTTTATTTACACCTAGATTTTATATAGAATTATTATAGTGATGTGTTCATATAATTAACATAATAAATATGTATCATATCAAGTTGTCTTTGTATCGAATTGGAGTAATCATTAGTTCTTTTTCTTTACAACAGTCTCATATCGCACCTTACAAATGAGGATGAGAAGATCCCTTCTCCTTCCCACAAGGTAAGAATTTCTTTCCTAGATCTCTAGTCATGATAAAGAACAAATCCCTATTATTACAAAAAATGTGACTTATGGTCCAACATATAAGAATTTCTCCGCAAACCTGGCTAGTAACAATAATTGGAACTAAACTTCTCATCTCAAACTTTTTCCTTTGGGATAGGGCCACTAGTTGTAGAAAACTAACATATATTTTTTCACTCTGTCCTCAATTCTGTTCTGATTTATAAGAATGAGTTACAGCATTATCAAATTACTAAATACATATTTAGATAATATGTATGAAAATCTGATAATATATATAATAATATGTATATAATAAGAAAGAAAAATACAGTAGGGTCTTCTTAATCCGGAGAATGTCTCAAAGCAAAGTTTATTCGGATTACCAAAATGTTCAAATTACCACAATTTTTTTAGTTTAGCAAAACTGTAAAAATTTATATGTTATATGTAATTATTTTATGTTATTAAAAGAAAACGCCGCTTCAGCTGTTATAATAAAATCTTAATCTAAAAAGAGGGAACTAAGACCTAAATTAGCAGGTTTTAAATCATATTTATCAAAACATTGTAGAAGGTCACAACATTATTGAATAGAATATATACTAAATATATAGAATATATATTAGAATATATATTATATTAAGAGAAACATTTTCAAAAGCTATTCGTGAAGAGACATCACGTTATTTTTCATTCTATAGGTAAATACAGCTAAACACTATATTAGCAGGTAAATTAAGAAAAATCTGTTTATGTACTAAATCAGAAAAATTAAAAAAAAAATTAAGGCAAAAAAAAAATATATGTACCCGAATCTTTAGCGATATATCTTTTTCAAATTTTTTTCAATATAGACATCCAGATTATGCAGTTTCCAGTTTATCGAGAGCATACTATATATCTGATATATTATTAATAAAATCAAATGATTGAAATTTCTAATAATTACAAATATTTTTTATCATTATTTTTAATAAATTCCTTCAATTTTTGAAGTCAAAACAATATTTTAAAAATAACTTATAAACAAATTGATTACACAGAATATATTGCTTTTAAACTGAATTAATTAAGACTCTATAAATATAAGTAGCATAGATATATGTATGTATTTATGTATACTTGTAGATTTAAATATTTTAATCCATTAAAATTTTTTTCTTCTATCAATTATATTATTTTTTTGTTGACACCAACTGCGAATATTAGATTTTTATCAGAGGTTAACTGTAAGAACTGCTTCAAAGAGCAAAAGATTATCATTAGTAAAATAGTTTCTTAATGCTCATCGCGTCTATAAATTAAAGACGAGCTTCATGTACAAGATAAAAATTTATAAAATTTAAATTAAAAAAAAAAACAAAAAATATTTTTTTAATATTTATTCAGAAACAAGTTTAACAAATAGTTTGATTGTTCGTTAAGGTGAATCACAACTTGAACTTTCGCTGTGGTTCATTAGCCAAAAAGATAAAGATTACTCAATATTTTTGGACATATTTAAGACAATTCGGTCTAATGAACAGAAATTCCAAGAAGTTTTGCCGAAAAAAAAAAAATTTAAATAAATAATACTAGTTTTAATACAAGTCGGAATTAAAAATAAAAAAATAATGCAATTATTTTTTTTTTGTGTTATTGTATTAAGTTAAAACAAGGCAATTGTTTTACGATTTATTACAAAGATACTTTTTTTATTTAAAAAAATCATAAAATCACAGTTATACTCAATTTTTATTTATTTAAAATGTTAACTATTGGTAATAGTTTTATAGTTGTTGTTGTTGTAGTTGGGATTTGAGTTAGTGCTATTGCGCACTTTTACTCTTTTGTATCTGGGGGGCTTATCCCTGCCCCACACTAAGCTTTAACTATACTAGAATTATTATCATTTATTAATCTTTTAACTGATGACGGACCGTAGATCAGCATATCTTCCTGTGCGTCCTGAGGTGGACTTAAGGTTTGTTAGAGTGGGGTTGGGCAACTTATCAACTTTTGTGAATAATTTTAGGGCTCTATCCTTGATATATTTTTTCACTGAGTCGATCCTTAGATCTTTATGCATGCCTGTTGTGCTAATATACCAAGAAATCTTAATTAGTCTTCTTAAAGCCAGATTTTCTTCTAGTGAAACTGTGAATAGTCAAGAGAAGACTTTTAAAGAAAAAATTTCATTCTATCTTTTGAAATAAACACATAAAAGTGAAATTTAAAACTATTTCATCTCTTATATTCATGGCAATACTTAAACTTGACAACATTATTTATAAATATTAATGTTCTTAATCCAAAAATTGGACAATAATTTTTGTAATTGGATTAATTACCTATGGCGAGTCCATAAAAAACACAAGAATCAGCACATGAAAGTAAAAATTAACCAATTTTTTTAAATAAAATAACATATATAATTATCAGTTTAACTAAGCGGTTTCTTAACGGCTAATTTTTATCGGTATAAGTATGTATATAGTAATATAGACGGCTCTGCTAAATTAAGTAACTTTATAATAAATGACTTTATATAAACCAATATGAATTTATCGAATTAATGAACTTAACGAGTCAAATGTAAACTAGTTAATTAATGAACTTAACGCGTTTCGTAAACTAGTTACTTTCATTAAAAGAAATAAAACGAGTTTAAATGCTAAAAATGCAAGATACAGTTTTATTTCAGATTTATAGTGCAAAACAGATTGTCCCCATATTCTTAATGGTTGTCCCTTAATGACTGTAGGAAAGCTTCTACAGAGACGATATACAAAGCATCTCTTCTAATAAGATATTCTGATTTAATACATTAAATTTTGTTTTTTATGATTATTTATTTATTCACACCGAAAACAAATAACCAGCCATGAAACATTAAACAACGTATTTTAAATATATCACATTAGATTTTTTTTCTATAACTGACAATATTAATGACAAAATATATTTACATCAGTTTTTTCTTGCAAAATTATCGTAAGTTACCGCACTTTTTGTCACATTTATTTCACCTATTTGAACGAATTTTTATCAATTAAACTGAAATCACTGGAGAACTTAATCCATATCATCAATAGCATTAACTCTTTGAATAGTTATTAATATTATGATAATTACGAGTATTATTTTGGCCACAAAAAAAAACGAATAAAAAAATTATTCAAATTTATTTAGATAGCTTTATTACTAGTTACTTATTAATCATTAATTACTTATTACTTTATTACCAGTATTCTTTACCAAAATCTCCAGATTCTTCAGATTGTGATCTGCCAGGTATTTATTCGCATTTGAACAACAAATTCCAAAAGTAATCTCACAGCAGAAAATCCAATTCTCTCATTGTGATGCCCTGTAGAGATATCCAACTTACCTTTTTAAAAAAAGTACCTCTTTAAAAAAGTACTTTTTTTCCATAATACTCTATGACATACGTATATATTAGTAGAATAATTGCTCTAAACATCTTTTACAGCGTATATCTGTACTAAATGCGATCAATATGAATCTAAGTTATATATTGTACATATATCAGCAAATATATAGCTTACTGTTTTACAAAACATCTGGACCAAAGAATCTTTTTAGAATCTTACAGAGAGGTTTATCTTTTTACAAATAAAACTGGTTTATTGAAAAGGAAAGAATATAGAGTAAAGAAAGAATATAATACTATACCCCGTCTCCAATAGGATATATGACTTGATCAGTGCAATATGCTTTTAGTGAAATACAAGCTCAAATTAGTCAATTATTTAATGTAAATATATCTTAAATCAATATTAAATTGCACTATTAACAGTAGAGTCATCAGAATCAGATGAAGCAGCAAACTGTATGATCAATCCTAAAGAAACACTAACTCCATAACTAACATAATACCTAGCTAACATGATATTGAAAATAAAACAAGAATTTTAACGAAATAATTTGTTGTTTTTCTTGATTTTTATTTTTAACAATAATTTGTAGTATTTGACTAATTAGTCTAATACATTATATTTAAAAATTTTTGGTCATAGAGCAACAAATATTTAAATACTTACAAATGTTATTAAAGCCAAGCTATAAACAATAGTTCTGTCATACAGATTTGAAAGCTGAAAACATCGGGAATCTTTTTCCCAAAAGATGTTGTAGGCCCCAACTTGTGCAAAAAAATAATCTAATTAAGACCCATATATGAAGTTAAGTTAAGACCCATATGTGACATTGGATGATTCTACATTATAAAACTTAAATAATAGTTAATCACACCAGGTATTACGATGGAATCCTAATAAAAGTTATTTATGATTTCAAGGATATATACCGAGAAGCTACAAAAAAGGTTTGTACTTTGTTTCTTAAGCTACATTTTGAATAAAAGATAAGAATAAGCGTGCAAGATTTTAATAAACATTATTGTATAGATAATTGCTTGCCCTTTATTTTTGTATAAATCTTAATTATATATTCTATTTCTATTTATATTATACAAATATATCAAATATGTTAGTTTGATTTTCATCATTACTTTAATTTTACAACCCACTATACCCATATATATAATACATATAACCCTTCGTTCCCAATGCGATATTTCTCGACAATTGAGTAATTTTAAATTTTATTTAATGCTTGTACTATTTTTGTTTTTATTTTATTTTATTAAATGTTTACTTCATTTATATTATGATTTTAAAAATTAAGAATTTATTAACGCCAAATAATACCTGTAAAAAAGCAATTTATTTAATCTAGAACAACTTATGACAATATTCATGGTATATTTGCAAATATTTTATATGATATATGTATATGAGTACACATGTAAATAAAAGTGTACTATTGTATATTTATTCTAAGCAAAAAATAAAAAACATTTAATTTTTTTTAATTGAATAATTTAATTATAAATACAAATTTCTTGCTCCTTAAATTATATCCTAAAACTCACGGTTCAAATTTAAATATTTAATAATCCAAAAGCTTTTTTTCTTAATTAAATTTTAAAATTAGTTTACAAGCACACAACTCAAGCATTCAAATTTTATTCCCACTCTATTTGGATTTCACACATTTCGGTTTATAGGTTTCATGCAATACAATGGACTTAAAGAAAGACTGTTTTTTACCATCAGGCAGATAGAGGTCAGTTCGATCATAGCATATGGCATTCGCTCCAATATGATAGAAGTATTTAACACGTTCCTTTGAGTTAATATCATCACCCCAAACTAAAGTTGTCTGACCGAGGTTATTTGCTTTGGACATAAGTTCCATACCATCAGAGCCCAGAAAATCTTCAGCATGCGGAGCCGTACCAGCCAATTCAAAAGCTTGAGCGTGATTAATAGCCTGCTCGAAGGTACGTGTACGGAGATCCATATATAGAGGCCATTTTCTAGTTTCACCATTTGTTAAAAATAATATTGGAAAAAGGTTTTGCTTAAACCTCAACATGGTGCAGAGGTCAGCATCAAAACTCGAAAATATTAAAACACGGTCACAGCCATGGGATAGCACAATATTTATGACCTTATCAACAAAAAAATTTTTATCAATACTTTGTCTAGCTTGTCTTCCTCCATTTGCAGTATGCTGTGGCCATTTTATTTCAACGTCAATACCCAAAGACTTTGGCATCTCTTCCAGCACTTCATTTAATTTTGGAAAAACACGGTGAGTACGACGTTGTTCAGCGTTATGCGAAAGATATTCCACGGGTTCATCTTTAATCAAAGAAAACACACGAAGTTCCTTCAACTCTTCGTAAGAAATATCTTTAATTAACACTAAACTTAATTGTTCGGCATCGGTTATAGTAACACCAGCTGGTGCTGTACGCACACCAAAATCATGATAAACTACTGGCACACCATCTGATGTCAGATGCACGTCAAGCTCTATCAGGTCAGCATTTTCTTCATAAGCTCGCAGAAATGATGCAATAGTATTCTCTCTTTCTGGCGGCGGATCTGTAACATAACTTCTTCCATTACCACGATGACCAACGTCTAATTTCGGCCAACTCTGAGGCCAGGATTGCGAAAAGGTAGTAGCAAAATGAAGCGTCAAATCGGTGAAAGGTTTCACAATCAAATATGGTAAATACAATTTGCCAATGCGGTCAATGGAATTAAATTCAGGTTTCGTTATGGTAAGCGATAAAACACCTTCACTGCCGATCAATTGCTCCGGGGATATAAATGCCTTTGCAAGTAAACGCTTATTCGATGAAAGAAACTGTATTGCAAAACTATAACACATCACATTTTGCAAAGTTATGTGAAAAATAATGATGTCACCACTTTTGTACATAATTCCATGAGTGTTTTGCATCTGAAGTACACTGTCGCCATACTTCATTTTCACAACTTCAACACTAAGCAGATTATCATCAAATACTGGTTCCAGTTTCTTATTCAAAGGCACAACCTTGATGAAAATGTTTTCTGGATTAAAATCAGTGTCACCGCTTATGCGAAACATGGCCTCACGATCGAATTTGAACTGAACAATCGTTTCGTTTGTCAACCAACCACGACTAACCTCAGTTTCATTAGCTGCCTGCTCACCAAAACGATCTATCAACACTGAAGCTGATCTCTTTGGCTTAACCATGCGTGGCTTTCTGTGTGTTTCCCAACGCCTAATTTGCTTATTACCATCGTCGTCTTGAACGTAAATAAAATATCTGTATTGTACACCTGTACAACACGGCAGTGTTGCATTAGTGCTCCAAGTGAATCTATCCCGCTTAAATAATAAAACAGCGCGGTCCATTTGCCACTCTCCAAGGTTAGGTGTTTCACCCGTTAAACCAACGCGCTCGTTGGGCTGTAAATCGATATCTAAGCGAACTGTGAACTTCCAAAATATAGTAGCGGAGGTAGTCGGCTCATCGTTTGCACGTACATATTCATTATCGCTATAGTCGGCTACAGATTCACCAAATTGTTGGCTCTGAATTAAGAGAAGCAGAAAAAAAATGAAGTTATTAGTTAAAAGAAAATTCAACATTTTTAAATGAGTTGTTATTTTATGTTGAAAATTTAATTCAGAGAAAAACGATCAGAAGCTCTGTTCTGATCAATTCTGCTGTTACAACTGATCTTAGTTTGTTTTCGATTTTTATGATTCGCAAAGAAATCTTTCTCTCTATTCTTGATAAGATTTATTAGAGGTCAAACTTACTATGTGATGCGTATATTTATGATTTTGTTTTTTATTTTATTTTTACAGCTGTGATTTATGCAGACTTATGACTATGTTTGAGTCCATAGACGTGCCTATTGGGATTCCAGACAAAAGAGAATTTTTTTTTATTAATCAACAATTGTATTTAGAAGTACGCATCATACACTTGGATATATATAAACACATATGGTGTTTATCAGTATTAAAAAAATATATTAAATGAAAACATAATTTCTAAACTGAGAAAAAAATGTTCAAACCCTTAAAAAATCTGTTTTCTAAGAACTGATTTCTAGCTTTGAACTTTGAAACATCAGATTGCGCTATTAAATACTAGATTTTATAATATAATGCTTATTTATGTTGAAAACACAAGCTATGGGTCTCATGTAGTCTTATATGTGAAATCTCATTCAATAATAGCGGCTACTCTCAATAGTAAATGGCTTCAGCTTATCTCGTTTAGTTATTAAATCTGAATCACGTGTTTCATAAATAATTAAATTTTATTGAATTCTATTTATAAATAAACAAAGATTAAAGTGAAGCTTTCGTTTTAATTTTATAGACTTTGATGGCAGCAATGTAATCTATGGATAATCTAAATACAGTAAAAACTAATGAATTCTGCTAAATTGAAAATATAACAATTTAAGTAAATATTTAAAAATAAAATAATTTTTTTTATAATATTTTATACAAATATAATAATAATATATGTAGTGATAAAAGTTCACTTAAAGAAATAAAACAGTTTTTAGTTGGGAAAAAATATACTAACATATAATATGTAGTATTCAGACATTAAGCATTATGCCTAATGCATGGTTACTTATTTGGTCTACTATAGTTTATTTATATGTACTACTATAGTTTTATTATATGGACTACAGTAGTTCAATTATATGCACTGCTTTAGTAATTCAATTATATGCACTACTATAGTAGTTCAATTATATACACTTATATAGTAGTTCAATTATATGCACTACTATAGTAATTCAATTATATGCACTACTATAGTAGTTCAATTATGTGCACTACTATTGTAGTTCAATTATATGCACTACTATAGTAGTTCAATTATGTGCACTACTATTGTAGTTCAATTATATGCACTACTATAGTAGTTCAATTATGTGCACTACTATTGTAGTTCAATTATATGGTGTACAGTAATTTAATTATATCGACTACAGTAGTTCAGTTATATCGACTACTGTAATTCAATTATATGGACTAGTTTAAGTCAATTATATGGACTACTAGAGTTGAATAATATTGAGCACAGTATTTCAACCATATGGACTTATATCAATCATATTTGAAATATATTATAATATAATATATTTAATATATATTAATATAAAATATATACAATATATATAAATATATATAATATAAGGTTGCACAACGATATCAAATAAGAATAAAAGTTGATTTTTTGATATTATTAGGAAATATCTATTAGGGAAACCAAATGAATCAGATGGGTTGACCTACATGGCACAGAAATCACTACAACCACCCAGTGTCTACACTAATCAGACTTTGAAAATATTTTTTGCTTATATTCTCACTTTTAATTTTTATTTCCATATATATATTTATATGGTATATACTGTACATCAATTATATATAAATACCTAACGAACATTTGCATTACTTATATAAAGAATGGTTTTAAATGATTAGTTATCTATTGTTGTTGTTGTATTAAAAGATATCTTTAAAAAGAAAACTTTATTATGTGAATAAATGAAAGATTAAAAAATTATTCTCATTTACGCCGATAATACCATAGAAGTTTTAGTAACTATTGTGACTATGTTGTTCTTTTTTGCTACTCTGTCCGAATATCTATTACAGAAGGGTTCCTAACTCATTACTCCATAATCACTAATAGAGTAGACTTTACTTTCTATACAGTTTGTAACCACACCTACCTCAATATCCACAATAATATAAAAATTCAACAGACTCTTTTTTTTAATAGTATGTATGTAACCCGATTTTTATAACTTATAAAAGTTTATATCTGTGTTAATGAGCAAACATCATATACGCATTTCAAAACAGTGCTATTAAAATAGTTTACAATTATATAAATTATTCATTTGGATACATTTTTGTGAAAATAAGTAAAATATTTTTATTATGATTTACCTCTAGTACATTGTTTCTGAAACTTGAAGCATATTTAACACCACTAAAATTCATTTGGCGTTCTCTCTCATTGTTCACTAACCAGGAACGTGTCAAGGCTCTTTCTTGTCTTGGACGGCGAGTCAAAGTTGGACTTCTTTCCAATTTTTTATTTACTGAAAGCAAATTTCTTGCAAAATTTTTAACTTGATTTAGTTTAAACATATTTGTTATTTTCTTAATTCTTCATACAAACTCTTGACACTTTTGATAATAAATAAAATAAAATGAAAATAATCAAATTCAAATCAATTTTATAATTTATCATCAAGAAATGAGCATTTTGTCAGTATTACGGAAACTTAATCAACCAAAACTTACTTCTCATATTAACTACTGAAGCAAGAAACTATAGTATAAATGTGAGCGAATACTCAGTTCTATTGATTTCAATTTTAAATATAAACAAAGTGAATAAAATTCTCTATTGCATTCTCTATTAAATTACAAGAATTACTAAAGACAGAAGTTAGCTATTGTCTAACATTGAAACTTACAATTTTATCAGCAATCTTATGGATATTTTTTAACGGAGGTATAACTATTACATAAAAGATCTATAATATATAAGGAGAGATAGACACATGCTAATTAATTGTACTATTAGAAGACTACACCAAAAATGTATTATTAATTTTTGAGTTCAAAAACTACCGCAAGTAAAAACTTGCAAACTAATTAAAGACACTTAAACTCTGATCACCAGAACTACATATGAACTTAAGAGAAGAAAAGTATATAAAATACAAAATTATCTTATGAATGCAAGGATTAAACTCCTAATCATTTTCCTGTAAACTGGGAACGCTCTTAATAAAAAAATGTTGGTAACGAAAATGGACCTGACTATAAGAAGCTTAAAAGCTTTGCAAATCCTCAGATTTTATGTATAGCTTTGCAAATTATAAATGCTTTATATGAAATTAATTCTTAAGGGACCACCCACTTTGCCAAGAAAACGAGTTTTAAAAATATTTTTCATATCTAAACAATAGATCTTTCCTATCTAATCACGATCTCTCCTAACCAGCTCCACAACCGTGTAATATAGTAACAGTGCAAAGCAACAACAAGATATTACATCATGAATACTTATATTTTGTTGTTGTCACGAAACTGTGTCACCATGTTACTCGATTACCAATCTCATTACTTCAGATCGTGAATACCCTTAATTTATTTAAAATATATTCACAAAATGTATATTCTTGTATTCTTTAAAATTTTTTAATTGCCATCGGCAAATTCATTATAATATAGAAAAGAAAAAAGCACTGCGTTATATTTCCTCTGACAAAATACCCGATTTTATTATATATTTACCACACACAGATTCAGAACTTCTTAAAATTCCACTTTTCCAATGCAAATCTTGCAAAAAAATTTTGCAAATGAACTCCAAATATTGAAACACTAGAAATTTACAGGCGTAAGGTACAGACACTTCACTGAAAATATTATTTTCAATTAAAAATAAATAATTTAATAATAATAAATCAAATATAAATATATAAATTAGTAAGCTATACATATATGGTATATAACTATATAACATAGTTATATTGTTTATCAGATCTTTATTCTAATTATATGATTTTTTAGTAATAGTTGTTTTTTAAAAATATATAAACTATTTCAAAAATATTGAGCTTATATTTATATTTAATACTAATGAAGTACTCACGATAACTAAACAAATAATAAGCAAAACGATTCCAAAATTTTCCTATTTACTAAATAAAATTTGAATTACATCCTCAGGGCCATCAAGATTGATCCCATCTTAAAATACATAAACGACAGAGCCCTGAAATTATTTGCGAAATCTTGCAGACTTACCAACCCCGCGTTATCAAATCTCAGAATGGTTACAGGCTCGTCGGGAAGGTTTGCAGATCTGAGGTCAATTATTGCTTAGTCTAATGAAGTGATAAACAATAATCTAGTCAAGGTGTAGAGAGGGGTTTTGAATAAACCTCGAGTTAAAAAAGAGTATAAGTGCTTAATTACACTAGCTCAAAACAGCTTTAACATAATAAATAAAATAATATTTATACAGAAATACTTATAGTTTCAACATAATACAGCTTCAACATAATAAATAAAATAATATTTATACAGAAATACTTATAGTTTTATGCTATATTATACATAATTTAATCATAAAAAAATTTCGTTTTACAAAAAACCAAATTTATATTAAACAATATTTTCCAAAATTTTTATATACCTCCCTATCTATATGAATATATAAATAATATTATATAAATAATATAATAATAATAAATATTTGTAATATTTATTTAAATATTTTTCAAAAGTTATATATATCCTATATAAAAGATATATACATACATATATCTATATATTTTTTTCATAAAAAAATTTCGTTTTACAAAAAACCAAATTTATATTAAACAATATTTTCCAAAACCTGCCTATCTACATGAATATATAAATAATATTATTTAAATAATATAATAATAAATATTTGTAATATTTATTTAAAATTTTTTCAAAAATTATATATCCCTATATAAAAGATATATACATACATATATCTATAACTATCAATTTTTATATATCAGTTAAAAAGCTTTTCTCACAGCGGTTAAAATTTTAAGAAAAATAAAGCTTCTCTAAAATAAACTTTTATGCACATAAAGTTTTCTAATGAAACTGTTATAAAAGTTTTTCTGAAAAATTCTTTTTATAGCAATGTCCTTATAATTTTTATGCATAAAATTATAAATAAAATTATAGGAATATTATTCATTATTAAAGTGTATGAAATTATCTGATGAATTTTTGAATGCAGACCTAACCATACCTATATGTTAAATATGAACAGGTAGTGAATCAACCCAATAGGCAACTTTTTAGTAAACGTATCTGAATCTGTTATTTTTATCATTTATTAAAGGGAGAATTCTATAAACCACTAAACCGATAGTCAATTGTGCTAACATTTCTATATAGAAATGATTAAACTTTACTTCAAACCAGAAATTAGATAACATGCAGATGTATGTTTACAAAATAATTGGTATTCTTCATGATATACCTATCTACCTAACTATCTATGATCGGTATTCTACCTATCATTGCAAACCTAAATTATTAACTCTAACAAATAAGCTGATATATCTTTATTTCAGCATATTTGTGATTCAAAATAATGAAGTTTAATATTTCAAATAAAATCCAAATAACAGCTATACAAAACCGATTGTAACTGCAAAAATTGTAAAAAGCTAATATTACACCATAAGACATGTCTTATGACATGTCAAAGAGTGTCAGATATTGTAGTCAGATAGTCTGAATACATTAAAACTACACATCTGTTTTACCTTCTGACAAAGTTACTTAGTATTTAGTATTTCGTTTACATTGCTAAATAGTCTAAGCTTAAATTAATTCCTTATTAACAATTATACACATATGATAGGACAAATATTGTAGTAATAATATGAATGAAATAACTAGATAAAACATATCAGAGAAAAATATTTATAAACATTGACTATAGCATAATTTAGTACTGCTATAAACGTATTTATATCAATATATGAATGAGATTATATTAAAAAATATTTTTATATGTTAAAAATTATACAGTTTTAAAATATCGATGTATGTATATTACTACAAATAAATTTAAAAAAATTAAAATATTTAATGAACTCCTGAAATGTTTTTAAAAAAAAAATTGTTGCTCTAAATATATACTAATTGTTATGTAGATAATAATTAGCATTTAAATTTTGTAGATAAACTAAAATTATACATCCTACTTATGGATATAGTAATAACAGAAGAATCTATAGCAATACCAGCTTATTACTTATATTAAAAATCCTTGGTAATAGTAAGTTTATACAAATAAAACTTAATGCCATATAAGAATTTTGAAATTAATTACCAGTATTTTTTGAAAAGTTCTTTAAATCGACATCAGTTTTGAATATGCGTCATTCTTGACTCAGAAATTTTGAAGAAAATTCCAAATTTAAGTGAAGTTAAAATTTTATCGGAGCGAAAATTTCAAACACTACTGAAAAATTTCTAAATAATGTTTAGAACTAATTTTTATTTCTTATTGAAATTTGATATTTGAAAGAAAAGTTGAAACATAAAATAAGGTTAACTTTGTTAAATTTTTTTCTAATTAAAAATTTCATAAATCGTAAGATTATGCGTCATGTTTTACAGACAGCCAAATCACAAATGATCACTGCAATTTTGCACTCTACTTGTGGTCATGACCAAAAAGATACGTTATACAACACTGTTTTGACCAATGTGACGAGGCTCAGAAGGCCGTCACTAAATTTTAAACTTTCTCTAATTTTCTTTAATTTTAAAAACTAAATTTTTTTCATTTCATATTGAAAACAACACCAATTTAACATTTGACATGACCATGACAAAGTATCCGGAATTTATAGTCTTCAAAACGTATGGTCAGAACACCATATTTCGCAAAGAATTCTTTCGAATCTCTTTTTTACCTGGCATGATCGGGTGTGAATTTTTCTGTTATAAAAGTAAAAAATATAATATTGTAGAACGTGTTTAGAATAGATAATGGTTTTAAAAAAACATTTGTTAAAGAAGGTCAAGACTACGTTTTAAAAGGTTAAGACTACGTTTAAGAAATAATACAAGGCTATATATAAAAGTTATAAAAGTATACGTCGAACAATGTCATGGCTCTTTTACACTTGATAGTGCCTTATTTGAAATTTACAAAATAACTTCGAATGACTGATAATTTCTTGTGTGCTTATTAATTAATTCCGGACACTTTATACATAGAAGTATTATTTCTCAATATATTATTCGGATTATTGTCTACATATTTTTATGTTAAAAAATTAAGTTCTCACATAATAACTCGATTTGAAGAAATAAAATTGTGTTTCTTGAACTACAAGTTATGTTACCTTAATTAACTTATAACTAAATTATTTATGGTCTTTTAGAACCTATTTACATAGCAAAAGTAATTTTAATTTTAATTCTATTTTTGCTCGTTTGATTCATTTAAGTTAAAATTACAATCCAATCCTACACAAAATCCTGTCATGTGTGCAAAATCAAATTAAAATTTAATTAGTAATTTGCAATAATTTAATTTTATAACGATATTGTAAATAATTTTTATAAACTAAAGTAAAACAAAACCAAATATTATTACAACTTTTGACACTTTCATTTACGAGCGCAAAACCAAACTTAAGATACAATTATGATTTGCTGTGTGAACAGGTTTTTCGGAAGTAAGCCAAAGGAGCAAAATTACTCCAAACTATAATATTACACAAGCTCAAAACTTAGCTATTTATAACGTTTAAGCTGATAATATGTATATAGTTATATAATAAAAAAATATATAATACATAATCTATAATATAATATAGATACATAATATATGAAATACATGAAATATATAAAATATATAAAATAAAGAAAATATGTAAAATATATAAAAACATATAGAAATATATAAAAATAATATATAATATACAAAAATAATACACAACATAAAAAAGTAATATATAGTATATAAAATATATTAAAATATTAAATTATATATTATATATTAAAATATTAAAATATTTTAAATATTATAAAATATATAAAATAAATAAAATATATAAAATATAGAAATAAATTAAAATAATATATAATATATAAAAATAATATACAACATAAAAAAGTAATATATAATATATATAATATATAAAATATATTAAAATATTTATATCAAAATATATAAATAATAGAGTCAAATATTCTAACAAATTGTTTGAAAATATTTAAAAAAACATATTGTATTATGGCATGTTTTAATTAAAAAATACTTTTTAACACTACCAATTCTGACGAAATCAATTTAATTAGTATTAGAACAATAATTTAAATTCAGAAAAAAAGTCCTGTTTTCTTCAAATACTATTAACAATAAAACAATTAAGTTGATTGCTTTGTACTAAAATATTTATTTTAAATCATTTAAAAGTGATTTGTAGTGGACATAATACTCTTTTGTTAAAATTTACAATAAAATAGTTCATTTAAAAACATTTTCCATTTTAATTTATAATATTTAAAAATTGTAATTAAATTCGCCAGCGAATTTTAGTGCTTGAATCTCAGTAAAATTTAACTATTGTTATTAACAATCTTATTTTTAAAAAGGAATAAAAGTATCTACAAAACAGTGGCATAATTTGTCGTTTTTCTGCATAAAAAATTATTTTTTAGTTTTACAAATTTTTTTAATATAAAAAAATAATGTATTTAATTAATGCTAATAATAAATTATTGCGTTTACAAAAATTTAACTATTATAATTTATAAAAATTTATTTACACAAATTGAAAAAAAAAAATAAATATATTATACAAAATGATATTTTATATTTTATGATAATATATAAAAAATATTTGTTCACAATTGTAGTACCTGAATCTTTATAGTTACTAATATACGTATCAATATAGGTATATAGGCAAATTTACCTATATAGATTCTATATCTTTAACTGTTAGCATTCTTTAACATATAACCTGCACCATCCATTTTTTAAATGAAAAAAAAAAAATAAAAATATATATCTATCTATAACTTAAAACTAATTACAACATTTATGGTAGTATGATTTCAAGCCATCACTGCTTGCAGAATTTCAACAATTTTCAATATACATATATAATATTTAATATAAATTTTAATTAAATATATTTTAAAAAAATTATTTTTCTAGTAAAATATCGTTGAATTATTGCTCTTTAAGTGTTTAAAAAACGAAAGGTTATTTTTATAAAAATATATTTCTTATATTTAAAATTTCTGTTCTTAATTGTTTAATTTTAAAAATAAAAATTATAATTAAAAAAGTAACTAATTTTGACGCATGCAACGTTCCTCGAAGACATTCATTAAACTCGTGGAATTGAAGAAGGCGGTTGTCTTAGTTTTTGGCACATAAAGATCAGTGCGATCGTAACATATGGCAGTAGCACCAATATCACGAAAATACTTGACCCGCTCATTAGAATTACAATCATCACCCCAGACTAGCGTAATTTGTTCCAATAGTATAGCTTTTTGCATCAATTCTGCGCCATTCTCCTCCAAGAAATCTTCAGCATGTGGCGCAGTGCCAGCCAATTCAAAGGCTTGTGCATTATTTATAGCCTGCTCAAAGGAACGCGTACGCAAATCCATATAAGAAGACCATTTGCTAGTTTTTCCTATGCTCAAAAACAAAACAGGGAAGAGATTTTGTTTGAAACGTAACATCGTACAAATGTCGGCATCGAAACTTGAGAAGAGCAAAGGACGACCGCAACCCAAAGTTATGACTGTGTTCAACACTCGATCCACAAAAAAGTTTTTGTCAATAGTTTGTTTAGCTTCTACACCACCACCGGCAGTACGCTGAGGCCATTTAATTTCAACATCAATACCTAAAGGTTTCGGTAATGCTTCAAGTACTTCAGCTAATGTAGGAAATATGCGATGGTCTGCACGTGGTTCAACATTATGTGCTGGAAATTCTTTAGGTTCATTATTAATCACAGCAAAAACACGCAGCTGCTTCAGTGCTTCATAAGTGATATCCTTGATAAGCACAAATTGTAATTGATCTTTACTTGTTATTTTTTTGCCCAGCGGTGCTGTTTTAACGCCAAAGTCGTGATAAATTATTGGTACGCCATCAGCAGTGAGATGTACATCAAGTTCTACCATATCTGCAAAGCTCTCATACGACCGCATAAAGGAGGCAATAGTATTCTCACGTTCGTCAGGTGGACTAGCAATATAGCTGCGACCATTACCACGATGACCCACATCCAAATTAGGCCAAGTTTTAGGCCAAAAATGTGCATAGGTTGTGCGAAAATCTAAAGCTGTATCTGTGAATGGATTGACAATCAAATACGGTAGGGTTAAGTGAGCAATTATGTTTTCTGCTTGAGGATTTGCTTCAGTAATGTTGAGCTCCAAAACGCCTTCACTGCCAGCCAAACTACTCGGCGTTATTAAAGCTTTTCCAATAGGTTCCTTCTCCGAATTATGAAATACTAACGCAAAAGCTTTTTCATGTGCATATGGTACATGTATGTGGAAAATAATAGTATCACCACGTTCATAAGGTATACCAAAGGTTTGTTGCGGTTGCAATCTGCTCTCGCCATACTTCAGCTTTGCCACTTCAATATTAAGACCTGTTTCCAATGACTCTTCCAACGCTGTCTCCATATCAGCTTGCAGTGGCACAATACGTATTAAGACATTATCAGGATCGAATTTATTGATATCTTTGACTTGGAACAATGTCTCACGTTCGAACTTAAATTGCACGATGGAATCATTTGTTAGCCAACCTCGATTAATTTGCGGTTTTTCATTAGACATCTCACCGAAGCGGTCCACTTGGTTCACGTTGGTGTTATTAGTTTGCAATTTACGTGGCTCGAATTGTGTTTCCCAGTATCTGATATGCTTACGTCCTTGTGTATCTTTAACATATACGAAGTAGCGATAGTTGACATTTTGGCAAGATTGCAGCAACACGGTAGCATTCCAGTGCACATTGTCTTCAGTACTCAAAGTGACACAGCGTTCTAATTGCCACTGCCCCAAAGCTTTTGAATTACCAGTCAAACCTACACGTTCATTGTCCCTCAACTGCCTGTCCATTTTCACAGCAAACTTCCGCAAAGTGGGCACACACGATTTGAGCGCTACTGTGTCATCCAAATTGGATGAGATGAGGTTAGTTGGCGTTAGTGCGGTTGTATCCACATAGGAAGCACACTGTAGTAGAAAAAAAATTGAAAACACTTTTAGTAAGAAACTTTCAAACATTTTTAGTTTGGTTTTTTTGTATTGTAAGTTTGGATTTTTAGTAAGTTTTTAGCACTTTAGCATAATTTAATATATTATTTACGAATAAGTTTGTTTTTAGGTTTATGTGTATGTATTTTTTAGACGCTTAAAATAATTTTTTCAAAAAAGGTTTTAAGCGATTAGACCAGACCGTCCGATTGACTTAGAAGCCCCTTAAGTTCTAAGCGTTCTAATCGAAAGTAATTTAGCATTTAGTTTAAGTTTAATAAAATTTGTATTTTGAATTAATGAAATTCAATTATAATCAAGAATTTAATCTCTCTAATTACAATTAGTGAGAATAATTTTGTTTTCAAATAAAGCTTGTTAGTCACATAGACTGAGTTCCTGTATAATAAAAAAATTAAAAACAAATTTTATTATAATGTTATATACTTTCAGAGTATTTTCAGAACATTGCATATATTATAAATAATATAATATACTAATATTAATTATCTAAATACTTTAGATTTTCTTTTTATTTTGCCATTTCTTTTGCGATTTTGTATGTGTATATATGAAGTGAATAATTATTATCGGATATAAGTATATTATATGATATGAGTATATAAACGATTATTTAAATTTTTTCTAAAAAGCATTATACAAATTTCAATATAAAAAATTTATAAAAAGAATAGAAATTACAGTATTTAAATATAAATATAAATATAAATATAAAACATGATATAGAGTTAAAAAGGAGAAAGTGCATCGATTCCTTTATCTGACTACATATAGTATTGAAACTGAGATAAAATATATCTTTAATTTTTAATTACCATCTGTTCTTTTGTATATATACAAAAGCTGGTTCGCAACAGAACATAAAAATCATCGAATCTTCTTTAATCTATATCTTTGCAAAATCCCTTCAGAAAATCAATTGACCATTATATATACCAAATACAGAGAAAACCTAACGTTTTAGATGTCAACGTCAGAATTTGATAAGATTAGCCACATGTTGTCTAAATATCGAATACTGTAGGTAACATAGAATTACAAGAAGACCCCAGCGATAAAATAGGACGCCTTAAACAAAGTAGAGACGATCACTGTTACAAAACAACAATAAAAAAACGTAGACTTATAGCCCTATACACAGATGCAGTATTCCAATGTTGTCACACAACAAGGTTCTCAACAGACCTCCGTCTAACACCAACCTTTGGACACACTTCATTGAAGTGGCCAGGTTTTTCCGTCTAGGCCCAGGTTCATGTTCAATTAACTGTTTAAAATATTTCATTGTTTAAAATATTGCAAGTAACCACCTTCGTGGATTTAATTTCATACTAGTCTTCAGAATTTAAAATTGCAGACCATAATTAATTTTCAAATCAGAAAAATGATCAATTTCTTATAGAACTATATTTATAAATATAAATGTATAAAATGGCTATATCAAATGCCCATGCAAATCTTCAAAAATGTACAGATTTTTGCCCCGCCAACACTTCAGTTTATAAAAAAATGAAAATTATATATATAAATATTTATTTTATGTATAACTAAATATAAAATATATAAAATAATTGTATAAATATTTATATATAAGATAAATATTTATTATATATATATACTAAAAACTATAGAATTAAAATATTTGACACATATATGTTCCATGATCATATTTCTATCAATTTTAGTAGGTGTGCGTGACATTATCATTAACGCACTCAATCACATTTAAAAACTATTAAAAAAATAATTTAAAAATATAATAAAACAAAAATAATAACACATTATTAGGAAATATTTCTATAATTAAATAAAATAATAAAATAAAATAAAATAAAAGAACATATATAAAATTATAGCTAGCTAAAAACTCAACAATTTAATTTCGAATATATCACGTTTTGCTGAGGGGGTTTACGATTTATTGTTGAATAAATTAAAATAAACTAATTTATTATTATTACTTCACGTGCTAATGTATATAAATAATAGATTATATTAAAATAAAAATATTACTAAAAACACCCATTTTAAACGTGATAAAGTATGAAGTACTCACATTTATACAAACTGAGAATAAAAATAATTAATATTTATAAATTTTATAGTTTTAGTTTTATGTGTGCATTTGTTCAGATCTATTAATGTACATTTTCAGTAAAATAAAATTATACGAAAATAAATTAATTATATAGGAATAAATATGGAATTTGTTAATGTCAATTATTAATAAATTATAAGCCTTAAAAATTTTTAAATACTTGACACGGTAAACTCTTTTCGAAGATCGTTTCTTTCGTATGAATATAAATAAATACAAACAAATAAAAATTAATAAATAAATAAAAACAAATAAGAAAATGAATAAGTAAAACCAAATAGATAAAAATAATTAAATTTAAATCAATAAATAAAAATTAACAAATAAAAATAAATAAATTTAAATCAATAAATAAAAATATATATATAGAAACAAATAAATATAAATAAATTTATTAAAATTAATAAATATAAATAAATAAATAAAAATAATTAAATAAAATCAATAAATAAAATAAATAAATAAAAGCAAATAAATAAAATAAAATAATTAATATTGATATATAAAAATAAATCATTTAAATGAATAAACAAAAATACATAAAATAGAAAAATAAATAAAAATAAATAATATAAATATAAATAAATAAATAAAATAAATAATTAAAATCAGTAAATAAAAATAAATAAATAAAACAAATAAATAAAAATAAATTAATTAATATTGATATATTAAAATAAATCAATTAAAATCAATAAACAAAAAAACATATATAAAAATTAAAAAATAAAACTAAATAAATATAAATAAAATCAATAAATATAAATAAATAAATAAAAATTAATTAATTACAATTGGTATATAAGAATAAATAAATTAAAATGAGTAAACATAAATAAATACATAAATAAATAAATATTAATAAATGAATATCAATAAGAAAATAAAAATAATTAAATAATAATAAATAAATAAAAATAAATAAATAAATAAAAATATTTTAATAAAAATAAATAAATGAAAATAAATAAATTAATTAATTAAAACAAATACGTAGAAATAAATTAAAATAAATAGAAATAAATTACAATAATTATAATAAAAATTATAATAAAATAGATTTTGAGTCAGAAACAAGGAAAATATAGAAAATTAATATATTAAAATATTTTTTGAAGAAATAAAAATAACAATTATTATATTTTACCCAGAGAGGTAAAATACTATCAATAATACGGACTTAACACTGTACTGAATTTATGATTTATTCGAATTATATTGTTTCAAGAATTCATAGACCGATAAGCAATTACTTAATCAGTACAAATTTAAATTTATAATGGTTTAATTTACTTCAAAAATATTTAATTGAAACTTTTAATTTTTGTTATCAAGCAGTAAATAGATGATTATATTAATTATATGATTACATTAATTATTAAATTATAAAAACTTGCAAATTTATTTCATCGTTGTATAAATTTATACAAATATTCCCATATAATTTTTGAGTAATAAAATATAAGCTGTTTTAACAAATAAGAAATAATAATATAGTAATAATATAATAATATAAAAATAATATGATTTTTAAATAATAAAATGTAAGCTGCTAAAGCAATCAAGAAATATTTATAATTAGTAATGTAAAGTAATAATAATGTATATAGTAATGTAATAGTAATGTATGTGTGTAGTATTCAAACCACATAAAAAATATCATTTTCAGTTTATAATTTATAATTTCACAGTTGACGTATTTCAGTTTCTTTATATTTAAACAGAAAAAATATTCAATTATTTTCAAATGTTTTTTGTTTATATTTTATAGCTGACTTTTTAATTATAAATTATTTGTAACAGTGTTCTTCTTGTTTGTTTACTAATAGAGGATCACTTCCTCCCCACCATTAGTACCACCGGACCGTAATTTATTTTATTTTTGCCTCTAATCATATTACTTTTTTGGCATATAATGATACTACTGGCCTTTATAGAGTATATTGAATATTTTTACAGTCCAAATCTCATTTTAAGCTGAGAAACAGTGATATAGACACATGAATTCCGAAATCGGAGTTATTTCCGAAAATGTCAAAAAACAGTCACAAAATTGTTGTGAAGAACAATGAACTGAAGTTAAGGAATATCGAACATATCAGAAAGCAGTGTAAACATTATTTTGTATGTATTTGGATCAGGAACAAAATTTTGGTCAGTACCTTAAAGCCGTTACAGTTAGGACTAATTACACTAGAGCCTACATTAGATAGTAGAACCAAAACGGCTATTAGTTTAATCGAGGAAAGTCAATGAAGTTTGCAAAAGCAACTAAAAACCCACAATTTGACCAGTGACTTACTTCCTTTCTTATTTGGGACTACTTGCACTAGAGCTGACAAAAGTAGAATCAACGCAGCGATTATCTAAATGAAGGGAAGTCGTTCTATATTTTATTTGTTAAAAGCACTAAGAATATACATTTTGGTCAGTAGCTTTAAGCCCTAATATTTTAAATTAGTTATACTAGAACTGACAAAGTGGAAGCAAAACATCAATTAACTTAATCGAGAAAAGTCAATGAAGCTTGTAAAATGTAACTAAAAACCTAAATTTTAACCAGTGACTTGCATATTTCATATTTGAGACTACACTAGAGCTGACAAAGGTTTGGGACTACTTACACTAGAGCTGACAAAAGTATAATCAGGTTTTGGCAGTTATCTTTCGACTCAATATCTACATTCTAGCCACTAGCTTATAGTCTTAAATTAAAACGACTAAAGCCCCACATTTTGACCTTTATCTTATAGTCCGTAAATTTTGAATTACTTACACTAGAGCTGACTTCAGTGGAATCAAAATGGCAATTGGCTAACCGGACAGAAAAAAATAAAATTTGTACATTACGAATAATCTT